AATAAATAAATCTTTAAAATAATCGTTTTTCCAAAAATATGTGGTCTTTGCCACATAGAATCCAAAACTAAAAGACAAGATAGCTGGATTTGTTTTTCTATTTCCAGTTTCAGCCTTGTCTAAATTTGCAACAGAATTAGTGTCAAACTTCAGGACCCTTGCAGAGTCCACAACTTACCCTTCTCTGTATCCATTTCTTTAAATGTGAAGATTTCAAGAGGAAGTCTTTCTCAAAAACAATGACTCACTTGAACAGTTAGCTTAACATAACTCAACTAAGTGAACCTTCTTTTTGATTCTTTTTTGACTCTGCAGTGTTGTCAATGAACATCATCAGTCTCCTGGCATATCTTAAAATTCCAATTAGGGAGCCGGCGCCGTGGCTCAATAGGCTAATCCTCCACCTTGCGGCGCCGGCACACCGGGTTCTAGTCCCGGTCGGGGCGCCGGATTCTGTCCCGGTTGCCCCTCTTCCAGGCCAGCTCTCTGCTATGGCCAGGGAGTGCAGTGGAGGATGGCCCAGGTGCTTGGGCCCTGCACCCCATGGGAGACCAGGAAAAAGCACCTGGATCCTGGCTCCTGCCATCAGATCAGCGCGGTGCAGCCGGCTGCAGCGGCGGCCATTGGAGGGTGAACCAACGGCAAAGGAAGACCTTTCTCTCTCTGTCTCTCTCTCTCACTGGCCCACTCTGCCTGTCGAAAAGAAAAAAAAAAAACAAAAAAATTTAAAAAAAAAAAAGACGAAAAGAAATTCCATTGGGACGAGGAACTAGCTTTTATTGAGAGTTTACTTGGTGCCAGGTGCTGTACTAAGTGCTTTACTTGCATTCTGTCATTTAACTTTAGAAGGTAGCATATAGCATACAGCCAGTAAGTGGTATTACCTACCACTTACCACCTAGGAAACTAGCACATATCTAATAAGTAGCCAACTGAAGCTAGTCCATGTCCAAAGTTCAAGCTGTTAACCACTGCACTTCATTAGCACCACTCAAGTGAAAAGGTTGCCTTGACCAGGAAGCAAATCTGGATCAAGGTAGAGAAAGGAACAAATCAAATTGTAACCACTGGACCACACAGTTTTGTGTTGAGTTGCCTGGTAGTTAGTTATGTTTGGGAGGTCTGCTTTTTACACATTTTTAGACTACACTGCTCACATGCTGTCGATTTCATTCCTTCCATATTAGACATAGATACATCTACTTTCTGACACTGTCAGCATGCCCAATCTACAGCAGCCCATCTTCCCCCCATCACAACTTTCTATTTATATGTTGTTTCTCAGTTTATAAAGTGCTTTCATGCACTTTACCTCATCTCATCTGATTTGCTTATTCTAATCAGTGTTCAGGTGAACAGATTACACAGAATTCTAACATGGTTAGATAAGTAATAGCAATTAGGCTCTGAATGAGGGCCTGAGGCAGTCTCAGGAATGAGGCACACAAGTTTTGGTGCGAAGATGGGACATCTGCTTTGCAGTCCAGATCTTCTCTGACCACTCAGCCATTCTATCACTCACTCACTTAACAAACATTTACTGAGCACTTGCTATGTGCCATTCTCTAAACTGGGCGCTGCGTTTATAAAGATGACCAAGCTCTGGTACCTGCCTTTGAGAAGCTCCAAGGATAGCAGATAGACAGATGTGTCCACAGGTAACTATATTGGCAGTGGATGAGCAGCATAAAAGTAGCTTAACACAATGGACTCAGGAAATGCGTGCAAGTTTCATCATGGTAGACACTTGAAGTTACTAGATTGTTGAACTCAGGACAAACTAGGGAACTGATTCTCAACTCTGGATGCACATTACAATCAGTTGCAGAGCTTTCAAAAAACAACCACAAAGCTCAGTAACTTCAGACTAGTGTTGGGCAATAACTATGACCTAGCAGTTGCACTATGTATAAGGCCAACAGAAATGTGTGTTCTCCAGAGAACTCCCACAGAGAGTCACACCAGCATTGTTCATAGCCACCCCAAATCGCAACAGTATAAATGTCTATCTACAAGTGAATGATACAGCCACAAAATGACATAGTCCTCAGCAAGGAAAAGAACAAAGCACTAGTACCTGCAACAACATGGGCGACCAGTCCAAATACCATGACTGAAAGAAAGTTTATACAGATGAATATGTACTGTATGATTCCACCTAACATAAAGCACCAACACAGGAAAAAAAGGAGTCTATTGTCTTAGAAGGCATGGTAGTGCTGCCTCTTGGTGAGGGGTAGTGACTGAGAAGGGTACAAGCTTGGCTTCTGGGTGCTAATACTGCTCTTTTCTGAATCAGGGTGCTGATTATATGGGTATGTTCAATTTTTGAAGATTCCTGAAACTACCTACTTGGAATATCCTCAATGTATATTAGACTTTAGAGAAAGTTGATGTAAAGAAAAGCATTTACAAAAAGAAATATCAGTGCCTGAACCTCACTGTAGACTCATTTTTCCCAGAATCTCTGGATGATGGGACTTCTACATTTGTAGTTTTGAAAAGCATCCCAGATGACACTAGTGGACAGCCAAATCTGAAAACCAAGGAGCTAGATGTTCCTGTGTTTATTAACAGCTCCTTGAGGGTGACAGTCTGGCACATGGCAAACGGAATGAGTTCTGAAGTAAGCTATATCAGTGACTGCATTCTGGCTCTACTTTGTGCTGGCAGTGTCGGCATTTGCTGGAGCATCTGCAAACTTCAGTTTTACCACTGTATAATGGGTACAATGTCAGGGTTCTTATAAAGATTAAATAACATAATATGTTTAAAGCAATTAGCATAGTGCCTGGATCATAGTACATGCCTTAAAAATAGCAGATACTCCTTTTCCTCTTTTGCATCTAAGTTCCTAAGAACAGTGACGAACAGATTGCTACAGATCAACAAAACTCACACTCTCTAATTTCTCCTCCTGAATGGGTTTCTTTGTGAAAATTGAAATAATATTATTCTTGGACTAATGATGGAATTTTCTGAACCCTGAATTTTCTATCCAGCACCTGCTTTCCCTGAATGTGAGTGGAGAGGAGGCAGGTCACAGATTTAAAAACAGGGGCCAACGTTATGGCACGGCAGGTTAAATAGCTGCCTCTGATGCCAGCATTCCGTATCAGCACCAGTTCGAGTCCAGGCTGTTCCACTTCTTCTCCACTCCCTCCCAATGCGCCTGGGAAAGCAGCAGAAGATGGCCTGAGTACTTGGGCTCCTGCCGCTCATGTGGGAGACCCTAATGGACTCCAGCCTCCAGGTTTTGGCCTGGCCTAGTCCCAGCCTCTGCATCCATCTGTGGAGTGAACCAGTGGATGGAAAATCTCTCTCTCTCTCTCTCTCTCTGTAATTCTGCCTTTCAAATAAATAAGTAAATCTTTTATTTATTTATTTTCCCCAGAGAAATCTTTTATTTAATGGGTACAGATTTCATAAATACAACTTTAGGAATATAGTGATTCTTCCCACCAGACCCGCAGTAAATCGTTTAAAGAACAAATCATAGGCCCTTTTTTGGACAACTTTGCTCCTGTCCTCATCCCTAAGAACTGTCCTGTGCAAAAAAAGACAAGGTCAAGATGTGAGTAGGCAAAAAGAATAGAAAAAGGTCCATAGCTCAGAAGATACACTATCCATAAATTGTGCAAAATGAAACACTTTTGCACAAAATACCATGCTTTAGCAAAAACAAAACAAAATCTGGGCTGAAACCAGGAGATCAGGGTTTCAGCTACCCATTGGAAAGCCCTCTGACTTTGGTTAACTAAACTTTGTTTCTTTGTCCAGTGAAAGGCATGCCACCTCGCCTACATCCTTTACAAGGGCACTGGGAGTTTCAGATAAGTAGAAGGTACTTTAAAAAAAAAAAGCCAAACAAATGAGACGCAAGATGAGAATACTAGCTGGAAATTAACTTTGTTCAAAACTCTAACTATGTCCTCCGGCATCCCGGACTGAGACAGAACACTCCCTTGTTTTAACTGTTCCAAGAACACCCAGAGCCTACACCGGCCTAAAATTCGCTTATGTAATAAGGGACTGCAGCACTGCCTAGCATGTAGCATAATACTTTGCTTAAGAGAAATCCTTGGAAATGCCTCAGCTTAAGTACAAGGGCAGGCCCAGGCCTTACGTTTTGGAGAAAGGTGCTCTCAGTCACAGAATATCAAAACTGTAGCTAAAGCAAATGATGTCATCAGAGATCCTCTTACCACGGTCAATGTCAAAATTAAGACAGGAAGTTCAAGGACAAACTGTGAGCTTTCCAGGCAAATAAAAGTTAGAAAGGCAGTGTGGACCTTAGATATACCACCACTTTTATTTGACTCAAAAATGATTGCTATTTTTCAGAAAATCAACCAAAATATATCCTGTCAGGTTTTCTTAGTTTATGTGGAGCTTTTATTGATAAAAATATGCAGAGTTATACAGAAAAAAAATAATTACTGTGTTTTTACTTTTACTTAATGAAAGAGCTGAGATGAAATAGTTCAAATACCTGTTGGGTTCCTAAATCACTAGAAAATGAAAAGTCGAAATTAACTATAGGCACTTGAGAACACCTTATAGGCACAGGTCTTTCCATCCACACACCATTCCTGCGACAGATCTGTGTACTCAACGCCAAAAATATCCCCAAATGTATACAGATGCTGGGGGTTGGCAGGGCAGGAAATTAGTATCAGAAATAGTACGGTTGAGTCCTGCTCTTGCTCCGGGGGAAAGAAAGAATCCAGTCGAATGCCAAGCCCTGCAGCCAGAGCTGGACAACTCGCCCCTAAGTTTGGCGCGTCCTCGATTTGCGCCCTCGGCCCCCACCCCCGCTCCGGCACCCAGGATCTCAGTGCACGGTGAGGCCCTGGCAGAGCACGGACCGTGTGGCAGGGGCAGGGAGTCCCGGCAGTGGGGAGGAAGGGCGGCTCCTCTACAACGGGGGTCCGTCGGTACCCATCCCCAGGCCCTCGCGCTTTCCCCTTCCCCTGAGCCCTTGCCCTCAGGCAGGTCACCTGGCTCGGCCGCTGCCCGCCTGTCCTCCGGCTGCTCGCTCACTCCTGCCGCGCCACTGCCACTGCCGCCACTGCCGCCACTGCCGCCGCCGCCGCCGCCGCCGCCTGGAAGCGGCTCGCCCTCCGGAGTCACGGGGCCGGCGAACCGGCGGGCGAGCCCGTGCCAAGGCTGCGGGAACGGTTCTCCCCAGCTGGAGCTGGGACCCTGCCCTGAGCGCAGCCGCCACCAGGGCGAAACTGAAAAGCTGGGCTAGGCTCGCCCGGGCGGGGAGGGGCGCCTGCAACTTTGCTCCTGGACACGGGCGAGGAGGGGGCGCCCGTCTCCAAACTCCGTGCTGTGCCCGCAGCCTCTCCAGTCCTGGCTTTTTTTTTTTTTAATGTTTTTTGTTGTTTCTTTTCTTTCTTTCTTTCTTTTTTGTTTTTCAGTATAAAGGGAAGTCGGGTTCTTGTCCGCAAGTTCTTACTGCCAGAGCTGTGCCCCTCGGCGAGTGGAGGACCGGGGCGTGGAAAGTGGGGGTGAACCCGGGGTGCAAAAGGCTCAACCCCGCTGGGTGCGCTGGCGGCCAGCTGGGCAAGGGCGCCAGGCGGAGGCAGGAGGGGAGCAGCTGCCCCGGAGCCTGCCTGTGAGGCTGCCCCGGCCCCACTCAGCTGCCCTCATTGCCCTCTCCTGCCCAGAGCTGGAGCGTGGAAGGGAGAGCGACCAGGAGGGACTGGGCCAGCAGTGGGAAAGCAATGACCCGGACCTGGATCGCCGAAGTAGGAACTGGAAGTGACAGCGGCGCAGGGCAGAGCTGCAGCAAAAGCCCGGGTAGCCGCGGCAGCGGTAAAAGCTGCGGTTTAGCGGCGGCGGCCACACTGCGCATGCTGCTGCCGCCTGGTTCAGCCCGGAGCTTAGGGCTGCGGGCGCCTGGCCTGCCAAGGGCCACTGCCAAAGCCTAGGGCGGGAATCCCCGACTCAGGACTAGCCCTTCCTGATGGCTTGCTTCCTCCTCCACCCCTAGATGCAACTAGGGCACCCTCCAGCATCATGGGGAGTCACTGAGACAGAGAAGCAGAAAAGAGGTCTCCAGGGGCTACCCTGGAGGGCCTTCCTGAGTTCTCTGATAACAGGCCCCAAGTCAAATAGAATCTGTGAAGCAGAATAAAAAGGTTCCTGATACATGGGAAACATTTATACCCTTACCCAAAGTCTAATTTGTATATAAATGCAATGCAGTCTGGAAAAGTACAGGATGGCCAGAGTCGTAAGTGATATTTAACTGACTCCATCAGTGGTGTAGGATTTGCTCAACAGGAAAACCAAAAACAGAATAGTTAAAAGCAGAACGTCCGTTCATCACAGATTACCCAACCCCAGTCTCCTTATTTACAGATGAGTCAACCGAGGCCTAGAGAAGAAAACTCTGACTTGCCCCAGGAGGTAGGATCAGAGCTGAAAGGAAAGTCTGTTATAGCCATCACAGCTCTTGGTGAGTTGCCTGGCCTTGTGCCTAACTTCTTCCGGAATGTGTTGCTCTCTTAGAGCTGGAGCTCTCTTAATGGGATGTAGCTTTGACTACTGGTCATTGGCAATGCTGCCTTACTTGCAGACCTGCTTTCCTGCAGAGCAGCCCCTGGGAAATGGCAAATTGTCCATCCAACAGGCCTCATTTTGGGCAGGGCACCCATGCTGTTCCAGTGACAAGGCAGATGGAGTGAGTCAGGGAGACAACAGGGAGTGAGGGGGTGGGGGCAGAGGAGAAAAAACATAACTGCTACCAGCTGGTACTGAAGGCTAAGAAAGAAGGGGAGAAAGGAGGAGACTGTGTTGTGTTGCAATGGATAAAGCTGCTGCCTGCAGTGCCAGTATCCCACGTGAGAGCCAGTTCGTGTCCCAGCTGCTCCACTTCCGATCCAGGTCCCTGCTAATGACCTGGGAAAAACAGCAGAGGACGGCCCAAATGCTTGGGTCCCTGTTACCCACATGGAAGACCCAGATGAAGCTCTTGGCTCCTGACTTCAGCCTGGCTCAGCCCTGGCCATTGTTACTGTTTGGGAAAGTGGGAAAATGAACCAGCAGATGGAATCAATTCTCTCTCTCTCTTTTTCTGCTGAGAGACTAATTGAATCACTTACCCATTCAGTGATTCTTCATGAACAAAACATCTTTCTCCAAAGTACATTTGGGCCAGGAACAGAATAGGAGATAGTAAAGTATCCCCGGTAATAACTTTGTAGTAGTGGTGACAATGGACAGAGCAAGAGTCTCACTGGGAATGAGGCAGGCAGAAGGCTTGAATCAGAGGAAAACCACAGGGCTAGATCTTTCACAGACCAGCCAAAATAAGACAATCAGAGAGGTACCACCCAGGCCATTCGTAGTTGATCGGAAGAATTGCATGTGTCCCTGACTTCCACAAAGTTCAAAACCAACACAACAAGAAAACTATCAATGCTAGAATGCAAGCTGCCGAGGGACTGATCACATACTACCTAGAAATGAAGGTGTTTCCATCTGTTCTGTAAAGTTTTTACATGAGATCAAAGTGGTGTCCTTGCCTTCCCAATTCTAAAAAATAAGGCAGATATATTTGGCTTACAAAAACAGAAAGACAAATGAATTATAAAAATATGGAGAAAATGTCTAAACATATTAGAAATCATAAATACTAACTACAGCAATAAATGAAATACCATTTTCATCCATCAATTTAACAAGCTTTAAAAATTCATATCTAGTGTCGGCAGGGGCATGAGGAAGAAGACACTTTTTACACTCTTGATGGGAGTGGAACTTGCTACAGCATTTTTGTAGAACAATTTGACATTATCCATCAAAACTTGATATAACAGTTTCACTCCTATAAAGATTCTCAAAAACAAAAAAGAAAGAAATGCCCGTGTGTATTAGTATTGCTGCAAATATAGTTTTGTAAAACTTTGTTTTATACCTTTGTCAAACCAATGTTTAATAATGTTATACTACTTCAGTATTAATGACCTGTGATTACTTTAAAATTGACTGTATATTGGCCGGCGCCGTGGCTCACTAGGCTAATCCTCCGCCTTGCGGCGCCAGCACACCAGGTTCTAGTCCCGGTCGGGGCGCCGGATTCTGTCCCGGTTGCCCCTCTTCCAGGCCAGCTCTCTGCTATGGCCTGGGAGTGCAGTGGAGGATGGCCCAAGTGCTTGGGCCCTGCACCCCATGGGAGACCAGGAGAAGCACCTGGCTCCTGCCTTCGGATCGGCGCGGTGCGCCAGGCTGCAGCGCGCCGGCAGCGGCGGCCATTGGAGGGTGAACCAACGGCAAAATGAAGACCTTTCTGTCAGTCTCTCTGTCTCTCACTATCCACTCTGCCTGTCCAAAAAAAAAAAAAAAAAAAGAATTGCATCTACAAGGGGCCGGCGCAGTGGCGCACTAGGTTGATCCTCCACCTGCAGCGCCGGCTTCCCATATGGGCACCGGGTTCTAGTCCCAGTTGCTCCTCTGCCAGTCCAGCTCTCTGCTGTGGCCCAGGAAGTCAGTGGAGGATGGCCCAAGTGCTTGGGCCCTGCACCCCTATGGGAGACCAGGAGGAGGCACCTGGCTCCTGGCTTCGGATCAGCTTAGCTCTAGCCGCGGCGGCCATTTGAGAAGTGAACCAATGGAAGGAAGCCCTTTCTCTGTCTCTCTCTCTCACTGTCTGTAACTCTACCTGTCAAACAAATAAAGTCTTTAAAAATAAATAAATACATAAGTTGGATTCGTATCTACGAATTGCATTGAATGTGCTTAAAAAAAAAAAAGAGGCAGTGCTGTGGTGTAGCAGGTAAAGCCACCGCCTGCAGTGCCAGCATCCCATTTCCGGTTCAAGGCCTGGCTGCTCCACTTCCGATCCCGCTATGTCCTGGGAAAGCACTGGAGGATGGCCCAAGTCCTTGGGCCCCTGCACCTGCGTGGGAGACCTGGAAGAAGCTCCTGGCTCCAGATCAGTGCAGCTTGGGCCATTGCGGCCATCTGGGGAGTGACCCATCAGACGGAAGACCTCTCTCTCTGCCTCTCCTCTCTCTGTGTAACTCTGACTTTCAAATAAATAAATAAATATTTTAAAAAAAAAGAAACTCTTGGCTTCTGACTTCAGACCAGCCCAACTCCAACTGTTATGGCCATTTGGGGAGTGAACCAGTGAATGGAAGACCTCTCTCTCTTTCTCCCTCTCTTCCTCTCTCTCCCTGTAACTCTTCCTAAACTAATTAAATATTAAATAAAAACATAAAAAGAAAAGATTCTTCATGAATAATCATAGATGTGCACAAATTTCTATGTGGATAAACAACCTGACACACTGGGAATTTATACCAGGAATGCAAGATGAATTTAATATGTGAGAAAAAGCAATAGTCATCCTAGCAAGCAGAAAAGCATTTGACATAATACAGCACCCTTTCATGATTAAAACAAACAAATCAGCACTAAAAGGAAACTTTATCAGCCTATTAAATGGCACCTGTGGAAAATCCACAGCTAACACCATACTTAATACTGAAAGACTGAAAATCTTCGACCTGAAAATCAGAAACAAGACAAGAAGATGTTCTCCCACAACTTCTACTCAGTGTTGTACTAGAGCTTCTAACCACACAAACTAGGGAAGAAAATGAAATAAAAGACGTCTAGATTGGAAAGGAAGAAGTAAAAATATCTTTGCTCATAGAGAATATAATCGTGTTAAGAAAACCATGGGATCCATCAAAAAATTTTTATAACTTATGAACAACTTCAGTCAAGTTGAAGGATATGAGCTGAATATAAAAAATCAATTTCATTTCTGTACACTTGCAATGAATACTCTAAACAAAAAACTTAAGAAAACAATTCCAATTACAATACTATCAAAAAGAATAAAATACTTTGGAAAAAAGTGAACCACATTTTTTTAAAAAAAAGAATGAATGTGGGGGCTGGCATTGTGGTGCAGTCGGATAAGCCACCGCCTGAGAAGCAGGCATCTCATGTGGGCACCCAGCTACTCCACAAGCCAGCTCTCTGTTTATATGCCTGGGAAGGCAGCAGAAAACGGCCCAAGTACTTGATCCCCTGCCTTCCACGTGGGAGACCCAGACGGAGTTCTAACCTCCTGGCTTCAGCCCTGCCCAGCCCAAACTGTTGTGGCCATCTGGGGAGTGAACCAGCAGATAGAGGATCTCTGCCGTGGGAGACCCAGACGGAGTTCTAACCTCCTGGCTTCAGCCCTGCCCAGCCCAAACTGTTGTGGCCATCTGGGGAGTGAACCAGCAGATAGAGGATCTCTGCCGTGGGAGACCCAGACGGAGTTCTAACCTCCTGGCTTCAGCCCTGCCCAGCCCAAACTGTTGTGGCCATCTGGGGAGTGAACCAGCAGATAGAGGATCTCTGCCTCTCTCTGTCTTTCCCTCTCTCTCTGTAGTCTGCTTTTCAAATAAATAAATAAATAAATAATCTTTTAAAAAATGAGTGTGAGGGGCAAGCTCTTTGGCGTAGCCGGTAAAGCCGCCGCCTACAGTGCCTGCATCCCCTATGTACACCAGTTTGACTCCCGGCTGCTCCACTTCCGATCCAGCTCTCTGCTATGGCCTGGGAACAGAGCAGAAGATGGCCCAAGTCTTTTGGCCTCTGCACCTACATGGGAGACCTGGAAGAATCTCCTGGCTCCTGGCTTTGGATCTACGCAGCTTCTTCTGTTGCGCCCAATTGGAGAGTAAAGCAGCGGATGAAAGACCTCTCTCTCTC